ACGTAGCTCTCCCGCCATATATATATATAGTTTGCGGGCGGGATGGGGGGCTTAGGTTTCCACGACAAAGGGACTCGAGTTCCAAACAGGTGGGTCGCATGTTACTGCCATCAAATGAGGAAAACACTCGAGATCTTGTTTCTTCCAGGTACCGTGACCAAACAGTTTTGATCATCTGATTTGCTTCTCCCTACGACTGGGGTACTTGTCTGGGAAGGGTACCTGGCAAGTTCTTCAATAGGACGGGCCTCCCTGTTCAGTGAACTTCTTCCATATATCTTGGGACGTGCCACAAGCATGCATTCAATTCGAACAGGTGCCAACTTGCATTTGAGCCATGTAAGGAGCTGTAGCCCTGCATGCAGTGTGGCCGTGCACCGAAGGGCCACGTTTTTTGTTTTTGTTTTTGGTTTGGATGGGCGGATCTGACAGTGACTCGCCGACTCGCCAGTTCCGGGTAGCATCTTCACCAAAAACCGGCGCTGTACGTAGAGCCTTAGGCCAGAGCCGACGGCCCGAGATCGGTGGAGTTGGCTATGTGGCGGGTAAGCCCTGCACAGCGCAAGAAGCACAGATCCCGACTCTTTCCCCAACACGGATATTTTGCCGAGCCTTTGGGCCCGTTGATCATTGCCTCTTGATGTCTTGCTTTTGGTGGGGGTGTGTTTGTCTTCCTTTTTTCTGCTGTCGCCAGTCGTAAAATGGCTCTCCTTGAAGGCATCCCCACCGCTAATTGGGAATCATGATGCCCTCACCCCTAGATATACAGCATGTTCAACATACTCACTAAGCGAAACCATGGGACACATATATACAAAACCGCCCCGGGACCTCCTCTCCGTACATGAGTTGGGGGGATCGGTACCTGCGGGGGAAAGTCAGAATTGCAGGGCTCCCAAATGAACCCGTCAGTTGCGCCCCGGTGTAAAACAAAATGGGCCTAGGGGGACTGCATCAACCCCTCTGCAGGAGACGGTGTCAAGAGAAACCAACAAAAACATTCGCGGGACCTGGTCGGCTCTGGCCACTTCTGCGCCCCCCGCAGTGAATGTCCGCCATCATTGCCCCAATTCTCACAGAAAGGGCGAATGTCCACCATGGCTGGGTCTCGAAAGAAGTCTGCCCAACTTATCCCTGGGACTGAAACGAGCTCACCCACTCACCCACAGTAGGACAAAATCCGTTCGCACCTGAGGAAGCATGGTTTAAATCATGCCGTTTGTTGGTATTTGCAGTGGAATCATCATTCCGTTGGGTTTCTGAACGGTGGTGCGAAATGGATTTCGCAACCATCCAAAGTATCAAGTTCTTTTAGGGTTCCCTTCTTGGTTGACGTTGGAAGGGGAGCAAAAAAAAAATAGCAGTTAAGTGGGGATTTCCCACTAAACCACAATAAGCAAAATGTATAATGTTTCGAAACAACAACCATGCCTTGTTCCGAGCTTGAGAACCATAGTGCCGTGGCCAACTGGGAATGCCTGTGCAGGTGTACAGGGAACGAAAAGAGAACAAACAATTGTTTGAGAAGTGGAGTGGTTCACCACTGTAAGACAACCCCGTGTATTGCAACAACCAAACCCTGGTGGTTTGCAGCAATTGCAAAGTGTCCATCTGGGTGTGGGACCCAAAAAATGGTCGGCTTCCTTTTGGTTTCGCTTTGAAACCACGTGACGCCCCAGGCATTGGGTGTTGCCCTTTAGATCTCGTCACTAGCTGGTGCTCATCAAAAAGGCCGCCCACCCCCCTCACCAAGAAACATGGAGGGTAGAACCCCACAACAAGGGGACTTGTGTCTTTCAATTGTAGCCAGACACCTGGAAAGGTGAGCGCATTTTACCATGGGCGCGAAGAAGCCAAAAGGGAAGACTAAAACGGCGAAACCAACCCATGAAATCCAACTTCAAATAGTACAACATCCCAACACCTCCACAGGGCAATGTTCCACAACTTGCTGGTTCTCAGTAGGGAATGACCTTCCAGGTGTTGAGAATGAACCTAGGGATTCCCTTGAAGGAAACCATTGGGAATGGTGTATACGGGGTCATTCCCTCATCTCTGAGACAGCAAGACAACCCATCGTGGGTTTCCTGCTTTCATTCATCCCGTCCCCACCAAATTGGGCCTCCCTATAGCCCAAAGTAGCCAACCAAAATAGTCCCCAATTTTTTGGGAATCCAACCGGTAACCCGGTAGTAACAAGGTTTAAAGGCGCCTCTGCTTGTTTGGCTGTGTATTTAATTTGTAGCTTAAAGGTTCAGCAAAGATCTCCAAATGTTTGCTCTTTCTCCTTTGGACACAAATGCTTAACCAATCAACAAAAACGCCACCTATGCTACCTTCCAAGAAGGCTGCCCTAAAAAAAGGTGTGTTTCATTCAGCTGGCAGAAAACTCGGTCCGCCCAATTCCTCCGCCCTCGCTCTGTGCTTGTCTTGGTTGACGTTGGAAGGGGAGCAAACATCTACATTTAAGCAGTTAAGTGAAGAAATCCAACTAGACCGCACTAAGCAAAATGTAAAATGTTTCGAAACAGCCATGTTGTGTCCGGGGCGCGGCAGCTTCCCGGGCTGTGAGGGCCACCGCCAGGCGGAGAGGTTCGAAGCGCTGCCGCCTCCAAGCGCCGGGGGAATTCCCCGCGCGTGTGGGGCGGGGGGGGGGTCCCACCTTGAAAAGGGTTTCCAAACCCGGAGGACCAAAAAAGGGACAAACCAAACTGAGGTTTTTTCAGTTGAGGTGTTCAAGACAGGTTTTGGGTTTAGTGGCGAGAACTGCTCAAGGAGTTCCAGTTCGGCTGCGTGTGGAGAAAAGACACCTCTCAACAGGTCTATAGTAAACATGATGACCAAAAAGCAGACCAACAAGGAATACTCCAAAATCAGCAAAAGATGAGGTGCAAGACAGGTGCCTGGGCTAGGCATAAGTGGACCCAACTGCGTAAATTACTCGATTGTCAGTGGCACCATTGTGCCACGAGTCGACTGGAGCACGTGAGGAGTTTGAGTGGTGGCACGTGCGCTGGCCCCAAGATTCAGCAGCGCAGCACACGACAAACGAAGGCCTCACCGTTTTCAGAAAACAAACGCACAGAGACGCGGGAAGCAATCTTCAGGCTCGAAGCATGAGCGGTGGATTGAGTTGGGAACCTCTTTAGGGATGTCAAAACCACCCAGAACTTTTGTTGTGGTTCCCCGTTCAGAGGCAACTACGGTCGGCCAATCCGATTTTCCGGAAAGTTGCTACCTGGGCAGCACCAAGGGACCCGCTCTCCCTTTTGCAACTACAGCAAGGCAAGGAATTTCATTGTCGGGCTAGTTAGCACCAAGCAAGGCTGTAGGCTACTCCTACCAGCGTTGCCAATGGCAACTTGGAGGAAAACCACGACACACCTTGATGAATGTCTGCTTTCAATTTATCCGGAGGACCTCATAGTGTGATAGTAATCAGTGGTGGTTCCCCTTGAGTAAGGAATCATATCATTTGACGGGATGCCTCCGACTGGCATGGTGACTTACAATAAATTCCGACCTTGGCGAACCCTTGTGGGTGATAATTCCGTGTTCCCCCCGAAAATGCGAGGATCTAAACCCTCAAACTACCCATAAAAATTGGATATCACCAACCATAATTTTGGGGGTCAAACCCATTTTTAAGTTGGAATTTTGAGGGCTCAGGAGGATCTAAACTGGGGCACTGGGATGAAACTGCAGTCGTGTATCGCGCCTGCGCTTGGTGCTGTGCTTCTGGAGCCTTGGCTGGGGATGCGCTCCGGCTCGCGCTGCACCTGAGCGAAATTCCGAAAGCGTGTGGGGCAGTGGTCGGGTTCTTCAGGGTTCCCTAGGGCCTTAAAAGAACCTTCCCTTGGACCACGCCCCGCTTGAGGACTCCACATTTTTCGACCAACTTGTTACCCAAATGGCAGTGGCTCAAAATTAAACAGCAAGGGCAAACCGCAGGTTTTAGCCTTTGGTTCCATTTGCCAAGGTGCCATTTTGGTACATCTATTTGAGCCACAGCCCAATACCAAATCAAGGTTGCTCACGACCCGTCTGGGCCTTGAGGCCGGAAGCTAACTCAGCAGCTTCAGGTCTTCACCGAGAAGCGCTTGGCTTCGTTCCCCACGGAAGGGTCCGTGGGAGCATGCTTAAGCCTCTGGGCAGTGACATCTGAGCTGTCCTCAGACCCCCCCGCTGAAAGTTTAACAGTTAGTGGGCTAGATGGAAAACACCACTAAACACTAAAGGCTAAAAAGCTAAGCGGATGGCTGGGAGCCACCAAGACATTGCTAGAATAGACCATGGCTATGAGCTCACAAGACAATCACCAATGGAGTGTCTGCCTAGTAGCAGGGCTGGGCCACCCCATGTTTAAGCCATGATTGCGCCACTGGCATGTAAACCTTTTAACCCACCTTTTGCTTCCCGTAGTCCAGGGATGGGCTGGTTCCTCCATTTGCTTAAGTCCCCTGGAAGAAAATAAAACTTACAGTAGTGATAGGATAGACTCCCTTTAAAACCAGCAGGGGAAAACAACATATTCTTCAAACAAAATTGATGTAGAACATATTCATCTGTCGATATATTTCTTAAGAAAGCAAATGGGCTTCTTCAAACAAACTCGACGCCCCTGTGTTCGGGTCATTTCCGAGCGCCTCCTGGGGAACTTCCGACGCCTCAACCGGCGCCACCGGCGCCACCGGGGCCACTTCCACAGGAGCCGAAGGCGCCACTGCGAGCATCGCGGACATGGCTTTGAGCAGGCGGACGCTGGGAACTGGGACTGCCCACTGCACGCTTTTGACCTGTCAACTCAAAGCGTCTCGTCTCTATTGCCTTGAAAGCTCCAGCGGCAAGCAGGGCGCGACGATTTGCTGAGCATCCACGAATGACATATGCATGCTTGTTGTTACCCCGGGATTGCCTTGCAACCTAACTTGCCACACAATCAAGACGGCCGCTTAGCGCAAACCCTGCTTGGCACTAGGAGCGTTCCCTGCCCGCCCGGCGTCCTTCCAATCCTGGCCCTCAGTACGCCATATGCCGGTCCTGGCAAGGCAACCGGTGTGTATAATATGTATACATATATATATATATAAATATATATATATATGTTGGGGGGGGGGGGGACAATATGGTAAACCATTACGACCATGTCTAACTTTGGCTTTAACGTTGCCCAGAACCCCATTCTAGTTGCTTGGGTTAGCTTAGGCCATGTCAAACGCATGAGAAGTAACATGGAGCCCCAACAGCCCTCATGTTTGAGAGGAATCTCCGGGGATCTGGGAAAGTGGCGACATGCTTTACCCCGCTTCGGAAAACAGCCCACAGGACCATGAAGATCCCGCGCAGGATAAATGAAACAGGTGAGCAGAAAGGCTCCTAGACGGGTCTGATCCATGGCGGATCCTTGTGTAAGTGAGTCTTGGATGAACTTCCTGCATTCTTTGTCGCCAGCTTGTATGACCACAACTCCATTTCAGAACCCTTCGGGAGTGGAACACATGGCACTTGGACCTTGGAGGCTTCCCGGGTGGGGTTTGTCCATCCACTTCTTGCAAAGCTGTCTCTCTGATGTTCACAGTACCTGGAACGCCCAGAATTACCCTCGTTAGACTAACTGGCGTTACTGCTCACAGGTCAACTGTCCACGAGGTCCAAGAAGATAGCTTGTGCACTTCCATGTTTGTTGCTGGCTGGCTGAGATCATACCAACAGCAAAACACAACCACCACCACCAAGAACGGTGACAGAATTGCAAATAGGAGACCCCTCAAGCCCCCCCCGCCGCTGCCCCCGCCCCCGGTCCGCGATCCGCCTGCGGCGCCGTGCCACCTCCCCCCGCAGCTCCGCCCAAAACCTCGGCGAGGGCGCCAGCTCGGCGGCCGCCAGGGCCAGGATGCGCAACTCCTCGGAGAAAACGATGCGAGAATGCGAGTGAAGCATGGCTTCTGTCTGTGGTTGTTCTGTGCCTTCCATTTGCTTAAGCCCCCTGGAAAAAAAAATCCAGTAGTGATCGGTTGCTTTTAAAACCAACCGAGAAACAAAAATAATACAAATGAACGGTGCCTGTGCTTGCTCCTGTTTTGCTGCTCTCTGGTGGTTCATCGAGTTGCTTTTCGCGATTCTTTTGACAGCGCAAAACGAAGCCTAACCGTAGGCAGCCGCCCCCCACCCCACCCGCACGCTTCCACTTTCTCCGCACTCGCTCGGTCGACGCGACTCCCGGCACCGCGTCAGGCTTCTGAAAAGCGCCCATCTCGGCGCACACGGCGTCCCACTCGGCAGTCCAGGCGCCAGTTTCGTCCCGCACTGTCAGGACCTCCTCCTGACAGGCCGGATAAGGGCCCTCACCCACTTGTTGGATGTGGACCCCCCTTTTATTATACATGATTGGGTTGGGGACCCAATCGACCCTTTTCCATGGAGGTGGAGGCATGTTCATTTGCAAACACCTGCTTGGGAGTAATTATAAAGGTGCTTTTAGGGATATTGAAGCGTCCATGGCATTCCCAAAAGGGTTGTGAGCGGTTCCAGGGGTGTTATCCGGGAAAGGGCCGAGCGTAAATCAAGCACTTTTTTTGAAGCTTGCGCTTCTCAAGGGTCACCTGTAGGTGTACAATGTATAGAATGTATATAATGTATATATATATCATATCATATATATATATATATAATATATGACATGATGTATATCTCTAGGGATGTGTGCATTCATGTGTCTGCACTTGTGTATATGAAGGTACGTGCATGTGGGTGTGTGTGTGTGTGAAGCGTACTGCAATCTCAAAGGCTCTACCTGCGTTGGAGTCCTGGTGCTTTGCTGAGCATTGGTTTTGGTGCATCCCCATGTCACGTCACAAGTTGGAAGGTATGGTCGATTTTCGCAAGTAGAGAACAGGAGGACCCCATTTGTGTTAGCTTGTGCTTTCACATCATGTTGTCCGCATTTAAACAGAGGAACCTCCAAACAGGCCGGTGTGCTCTTGGTTTCCCTCTCCAACAACCCAACAGCTACCGAAAATCTGAAGTGACGCCGCTAGGCGGATGCCGAACCCAACAATCGGTGTCTTTTGTGCCGCGCCCTCGGCCCTTGCTCAAGAAGTGACTGAGCCAAGTGGGTGTATGTAGGCGGAGGCTTGGCTTACTCAAAACTAAGGAAAGCATTGGGCCTTGGAGATGTCCTACAGGCAGCTGGCTGATTAGATTGGGGACCGAAGCCCTTCAAACGTGTCAACTGGAGGACTGGAACGGGCTAATTTCCATGGTGCCCCCTCAAATACATGTTTGAGCATCGGTTTCCCACGTGTTTCCCGCGGGTTTGCCATGGGTCTCCCGTGGGAAACCTTCGTGGGTTTCTCACGGGTTTCCCAGGGCTTGCCTGGGTAGATTTGGCGCACGGCCCCAACGATTGGCACGCTGCACACGGACAATAGTCACATGTTCAGATTCTGTTGCGCATTTTAGCCCCTGAAGTCGCCCAAGTCTGAAGCAGAACATTGTCTTGGCGGAGGCTCGAGGCCCCAAAGCCCAAAGCTCGTCCTGGGCCTTTTCGACCCGGCGCTTGCCGCAGATCAGGACCTGCCACTTCCTCGGCATCCAATCACCCGCTTTTGTGCTTGGAAACTTTCCTGGTCCTCCAGTGGAGTGGTTCGAATAAGGGTACCCGATGTATTTCTGTAGTCTATTTTCGTAGGGGACCCTCCCCAAAAAAGGGTAAAAGGGCACTACTGGGGAACCTAGTCAAGGTGGCTGTGCAGGGAAGGGGTCGTGTTACCTACCAGTAGAGCCGGCGACGCCGGTAGGGGGAAGTTTCAACATGTAACAAGCGTAGTTATCCTTCTCTTGTGTCTTCTTCTTTTCTCTGTTTGTCATGGTTCTTCTTGTTGCATGTCTTTCCTTTCTTTCCTTATTTCCTTCTTTTCAGTTTTATTGACGTCTTCCTTTGTGTTCCTGTTTCCTTCCTTCCTTTCTTCCTTTCTTCCTTCCTTCCTTTGTTTTTGTCTCTGTTTTTCTCTCCTTCTTTCCATCTTTCTTTTTGCAGCCCAGCAGCGGCTCGCCCCTTGCCAGCGCCAGCAAGCGCCGGTGCACGTGGAACCCCGCAGCCTCCACGGCAGAGACTACGTCGCGCTTGGCCACGTGGACAATGCCTCAACCAAAGATCTATGGGCATGAATTTGAATTAGGGACCCTCTAATGGACCTCACTTAGGCGGAGCTTTATGTCCAACCACTTTCCAGGGGTTCCTTATCTAAATTGACCATATGCTTTTAAAGCCGCTTGGTGCTGTTTGCCATCCAAGAACAAAAAGGAGCTGGGCGTTGGGCACTGCACAGCGCTCAGAGTCCAAAGCAAGCAATCTTCATTTCCCAAGAGGACAGGGGGAAATCTTGGTTGTCCCCCCATGTCCGCCCCAAACCTGTAGGCTATCAAACACTTTGCGAGTTGCTCACATGACCCCAGTTGCTCCGTGGCCCTAGCAACAAAAAGTTGGCTCAAAATCATGACTGGTGTTTGGTCCCACCAATTCCGGCAAGGCTGCCCATCGGTTTCCTTTAAACCGGAAGCAGTGAAGCCACGCACAAAATGGTTTGAGGGCACCCTTTCTCTAAGGGTGGCTTTTTCAAGGAACACCAACAGGACAACCACCACTTTCGGGGGGTCTACACAAAGACGGCGCCCTTTTTGGAGGCCCACACCGTCCGCCGTCCGGGTTCGATCCGGGCTTTGATCCGAGGCACAGAATTTGCCCTGCGGCTTGAGCGCCCGGAAGGCTGCGGAGGCGAAGTGTCGCAGGGTGCCCCGGAGCTCGTAGTAGCCTCGGGTCACGGTTCGCTGGATGGGAACCCAAACCTCTGCCAAATGTAACGCTCCCTTCTACTAAAATGGCACCTGACAGGGGTCCTCCAGGAGGATTCTACTAAAATGGCACCTGACAGGGGTCCTCCAGGAGGATTCTACTAAAATGGCACCTGACAGGGGTTTTCCAGGAGGATTCTACTAAAATGGCACCTGACAGGGGTCCTCCAGGAGGATTCTACTAAAATGGCACCTGACAGGGGTCCTCCAGGAGGATTCGACTAAAATGGCACCTGACAGGGGTTTTCCAGAGGAATTTACTAAAATGGCACCTGACAGGGGTCCAAGAGGGAATTGATCTTTCAGGAGGATATTGGTCGCCCAAAATCTGGCAATTGTTCTTGCTGGTGCCAGAGGCAGGGAATGAGTGAAAAACCATCCATTGTGGTTTCCTTTGAGGGGACCTCTGGTGTTGCAGGATACTGGTCCAACATCTGCAAAATGTTCTTGCTGGTGCCATAGGCAGGGAATGAGCAATGCAATAACCCCCAAAAAAAAACATCCAACTGGTGGTTTCCTTTAAAGGGACCCCTTGGTCCATTCCCTCATTCCCTACTGAGCACCAGCAAATTTCACTCGATCTTCCAAAAGCTGACTTGCCATCGCCTCAGACAAAGCCTCCGCAAGGACTGTCCACAAACAATTCTGCCAAGCGAAAGGGCAGCAAAGAAAGCTGACTTAAGAATTGAATCCCCAAGTAAAGTTTAAATTAAACACCCAGTTAAAAGAATAAAAGCGCTACGCATGGCAAATGTCCATGTTTGGATGCGCCTGAAAGGGAAGCCACGAGGAAACCCTTTCAGGGGCGCCTTTGTGCTGAGCTCGCTAAAACTCCAGGTGTGCTCGCTAGAAAATAGGCAGCACCATGACTGATTTTCTTCAGGCTTCCGAGAACATAAAACGCCACCACAAAAACAAACACATTGTAGGCACACACTGAACCTTCCCTCAGCTGGGGTGGGTTTGAAGGGTATGGTTTTCCTTGTGCCTTTGCTCAAGAACTACCAATCCAAACCCATCAAAAGCTGTCCCCGGTCAAACAAGGCTTCATGAATAGTGAACCTTCAAATAGCCTGGGCAACCGCTGGAAAGTGTCAGGCACATACCCTGGCTTATAAGAGGTGGTACCTGGATATTGCGGGTGCCTAGAAACCCTGAATCTCCCCAGCTTGCTTGAACAGCCCAGCCACCGTTTGCCACCCAGAAACGGGTAAGGGCTGTGGCTGGTGTTTGGGTGCTTTCCAGGAAAGTAGTGATGTGGTCCAAACACTAAGCCTTGTAGATGTCCTTCGTGGGATGCTTTGCCATGAAGAAACTTGTGTGCTTCCTTTTCACGGGATGCCAAGGAAAACACCTTCTACACGGCCATGTTGTATTGCTCCGCCTGCAGCCAAGTTGGACACTACACACAACCCTCGCTCCTCAAAACCTATAGTCTATACGCCACCCATCCAGCTGAAACAGTGCGATAACACACAAAATCTACCTCAGCTGTCCTTCCGACCCCAACTTGTGGTCTACTTTCTGCGAACCTTACAACGCAACATAAATCACAAAAAGATCCCAACCAGCCAGCCAGAAAAGGAAACAAGCGCTCGCTGGCTGCAGAGAAGCAATACCGTCGCTGGGAATGCTCCGGCAGCTTCTTGTCCTGCCCACTCTTCAGGACTGACCCACAAAACAACACCACTGGCCAATGAGTTTCATCTCTGCAAAGTAGCACTCCCTGAGTCTTGTTTGCCGAAGGCTCCTAAACATGGGCGCTCCAAACAAGACTCCTCTAGAAATTGGTCTTCTCCAGGTTCCGAGTTAGGCTTGGGATCTCCTCCAAATCGAAAAAATAATCTTCCATTTGCTCAAGTCCACTGAAAAGGGAGATGCCCAGTAGTGATAGATTCCCTTCAAAACCAATCAGCGGATTTGCCAGTAGTGCTAGGTTCATTTCAAAACCGAACCGCGGAAAATAAACAACATCTTCCGAAGCGCAGTCGGAAGTACCCTCCCTCCTGCTAACACGGCACCTGACAAAGGGCCCCCCTTGAAATAAC